GCCCACCACACGGCCCGCCTCGGCTCCCGTAGTCCGGCTCCTGGCCTGGCTGAGCGCCTCGGGTGCGTTCGGAGGCGCTCGGGAGGACTCGGCGCTCCTCGGCCCCGCCCCTGCTTCGGCGCCCGCGCCCTCCTCCCCCTCTTCCGCTCAGGTCTTGTGAGGCCCCGCTGCGGCTGCGGACGATGGCCTTCCCGGGTCCGCCACTCTCCGGCCTGCCTGCTCCCTCTGCGAGGAGGCTGCGGTGAGGTGGGAGGAGGAGGTGGCAGCCGCGCTGGCGGCGGCAGGGTACCGACAGAGGCTCAGCTTCCGCGGCAGGCGCGGCTTCGCTGCGGAGGTCGGCAACGGCCTCGGGCGCCCCGCCGCTTCGGCACTTTCCGCCGCCTGCCCACTTCGGTTCTTCCTGTTCCCGGCTGCGTTCTGCGCCTGCGCAACCCTTTGCAGCCCCCAGGTTGCTCCTCGTTGGAGTTTTGGGTTCGGTCTTCTTCGGTTAAGCTCGGGCATTTCCGTGTGTGGAGGTGACTATTCGGCGGTCCAGCGGGTACTTCCTGGGATGCGCACCCAGCAGAGCAGGAAGCGGTACTTGCAACCATTTTTGATCGAGGCGGGTAGTGGCTGTTTGGCTGTCGGTGGTTCCATTTAATGTGGCGCTTATGCGGAGCGTAGCGGGAATGGGCTAGAATGGATCTTGCTCTCTGTGGGCTCAGCAAAGACAGAGCCTGGGCGTTATAAGGGACATAACATTGTCTGAGCTCTCCCAATCTCATCGCAAATCCAGATTGCGATTGATGTAAACTAGCTTAAAACTCGTATTGTTCCTGGAGGCTGAGACATCAGGTTCACTTGAGCCCAGGCGTTCAGGGACATCCTAGGCAACAAACACATGAGACCCTTGTTCCTTAAAATAGATTTCTATTGTGCAGCAGAGGGTGCTTGCGCACTGTGTAGTTTTACGGTCCAAGGTGGACATGGGTATAGGGCTCATAGCTGCGGCCTAGAGACCAGCAGAAATGGCATCGTGCCTCTTGACGGTCCTAGGTTGAGTCAGCTCAGATCCAGTCACAGCTTAGGGTGCTTGGGAGGCGGGAGGAAATAGCTCAGGATGGGTCAGCGACTTCCGACTGTCATCTAGGAAACAAGCAAGCGGCCAAATTCGCTGTTAGGAGCTTCTGCAGCTTGTCTGGTCACCACTTGAAAAACATGCCTGGAACAGGTTGGGACTCCGTCCACTCCGCTCCTTTATAAAGGCCCTTTTTTGCCATCTGACAGATCTCCGGTGCTACCCATCATGAACCATGGTCCTACATTTGGGACTTGGTACACCCTTGCCCACATTTTCCTGGGTTTTTGTTTGTTTGTTTGTTTTTTTGTTTGTTTTTTTGGAGACCGGGTTTTTGTGTAGCCCTGGCTGTCCTGGAACTCACTATGTAGCTCTGCCTGCCTCTGCCTCCTGAGTGCTGGGATTAAAGGCGTGTGCCACCACCGCCCCGCTCTTCCTTACCATTCGAGGCTGGTCCCCTTTGTGCCCTCTGTCATCTCAGTTGCCCACCCCCCAGCATCTCTTCTTGGCTTTATCCTTAAAAACTGAGAGAAGTTCAGGCCAAGGACGGGACCTCAGCTTGGGTCTGGTGCCAACCTGGCTTCCACCATCTGTCCTCACACCTCAGCCTCCACTCACAGCCCATTCTGAGACCCAGGGGGAAAACAAAACAAAACAAACAAACAAAAAACCAAAACTACTCCAGAACTAATCTTCACTGTTTTCTCAGCTACCTGACTCCATGTTGATTACTGTATAGCTGCCGCTTTTGTGGCTTTATCTGTCTTCTTCCAGACAGGATCCATCTCTGTAGCTCAAACTCAGTCCAGGCTGACCGTGAACTCACATCATTCTCTTGCCTCAGTTTTCAGAGTGCTGTGATTACAGGTATATTCCTCCATGCCTGGCCCATCCAGAGGCCCATGGTTGGGGCTAGATGGGGCGCAGGCTGTTCTCTGTAGTCCTGCAGTTCTACTGGAAGATTGGGAGCACTTGCCTGCCAGCATCCTTTCAGCACTCCTGAGAGTCTAAAGTCTGCTTATCTTGGTTCAGGATCTTTGGTGGTCTGTGAGGTAGGAGAGAAGAACACTGAAAATTATGGGGACCCGAAGGAATAGCGCCTCTGACCCTGGAAACTGGAGAAGCAAGAATGCCAGTACAATTAACAGCTGCTTAAAGGTTTTTCCCCCTTCTCAGCTGTAAACCTACAGTGTTCTAGGAATCTCACCAGAAATTCCATTTACAGGGAAAGGATGTGTACTGAACCTGAACAATTCTAGTAGCTTCTGGTTTTACCTTATGAGATTACAGTTCCATCCAAGGCATCTCTGGAGCCAGTCTCCAATCTTTTATTTTATTTTTTGGTTTTTCGAGACAGGGTTTCTCTGTGTAGTTTTGGTGCCTTTCCTGGAACTCACTCTGTAGCCCAGGCTGGCCTCGAACTCACAGAGATCCACCTGCCTCTGCCTCCCAAATGCTGGGATTAAAGGCGTTCGACACCACTGCCTGGCTTCCAATCTTTTCAAAAGAGGAAAGGAAACAGTTTTCTTTCTTTCTTTCTTTTTTTTTTTTTTTTTGGTTTTTCAAGACAGGATTTCTCTGTGTAGCTTTGCTCCTTTCCTGGAACTCACTCTGTAGCTCAGGTTGGCCTTGAATTCACAGAGATCTGCCTGTCTCTGCCTTCCGAGTGCTGGGATTAAAGGCGTGTACCACCACTGCCGGGCAGGAAACAGGCTTCTTAGCAACTCTTTTGAAGTGTAACTTGAGAACCACCTAAAAGGTATTATATGTGGCTAATGCTAAGACAATTGAGACTCTTCCTTGAGTATTCCATATCCACTGCTTCCCCCATTCTTCCATGGGAAACATATACCCACACTTGGTTAAGTCTTTTTTGAGCACTTCTCTCATGCCTAAAGATTATTTTTATTATTAAAGTATCTTTAATAAAATCTCCAACTTTGCTTCATACTGGCTAGGGCTGAAATTCTTTTCTGGAACTGGAACCATGAATTGTAGTGGGTAGCCATCCTAGCTCGGGTCTCTCAGCACCTCCCTTGGCCCCACCTTGAAGGCGTGACAGTTGTCGAAGCCTCAATGGGTGTTGGAACTTCCAGATCAAAGCTGGAATGGCTACCCACTACAATGAATCTCAGTTTAATCTGAGTCCAGGTCTCTCTAAGATTAGGGGTGTTGTGGTGGCCTCACGGAGCTGTGTCTTTGTTCCTTTACAGCTGACAGTTGGAGGGGACAAGGGAGTGTCATAGGGACCGGGGACCCCCATCTTACTCTGTCACACAGGATCAGCCTCAGACTTGGTTTGACTTGTCTGCTTTCCTTGATGCCAGGTCCCAGTTTGGGGTATCAACATGAAATGTCAGGAACAGGTAAAGCTATTCCCACAGGAGCGGCTTGGACATGCAGGCCTTACAATGGTATTCCTGGGAACTCCCAGAGCCAGTCTGACACCCAGCGAAGACCTCAGCTGCGATTTAGGGCTTAAGCTGAATCATGCTAAATAGATCTCCTTTGACTACCTGCACCCCAGTAATGCATGGGAGTGGGCAACTGTGTCAAAGTTACAGTCAGTGAGATGGAAGGGAATATGGCTGTTGAAAAGGAAGCAGTGGCATGGGGCACCTGGCCCGAACTGTCCGGGATCATGTAAACTGTTGGCAGCTGTATTTCCTGTGACTTCCTGCTGAATGCAGCCCTGAAGACTCCCTAGTATGAAGGAGACCCTTGTAGAGCTATGAACAGAGCCATGGTGGAAGGGGCCTGTACTTAGAGTGAGAGGAACAAATCGCAGAGGTTAGAGCAACTGGTCCTGGGCCTGAAGCCTGTGCTCCCCATTTTGGGGTCTTCTTAGTACCTGTTAGTTGCAAACCCGTGGGGCCAGGAAATCTTGAAATGTCTGAGTTTCCGGGTTAAGCCTCCCAATCTGGCGTGTATCCTGTGGCCATTTCCATGGTCGCTCCTCAGTGCTCATCTCTCTGGTGGGAAGAAAGCTTGTCTGCTTATGACTGTTTCAGGGGTTCGGGGGTGCTGTTGGGATGAGAGTGACTGGACAGTGGGTTGGGGCACAGGGAAACTATGTCATGGACATTGCTGGTATTAGCTCAGCAAGGTGGAGAGCTTGAGAGGTGGGCAATCCCTTTGGCGGCTTGAGTGTTCTTCCATGTCCTGCCGGGCTCCAGAATGTGGTGAGAACGGCAGGGAAGACGCCATGAGATCATTCTCCTCTGGGCTCCAGACTTACCTATCACTGCAGGGCCAAGACTCCACAGAGGCCTCCTAGCCTGCTGCTCTGGGAAACAAGGTGCCACGGGGGCTGGGAAGGGTGGCTTTCCACTGGCAGAACTCCACCTGGCAGTGAAGGCCCTTCTAGTAGTAGTCTACACACTACCCAGAGCCAGGCCTTCTAGCTCCCCGGAGAGAACACCCCGAAGGGCCTTCCTCAGGATTCTCAGTCACCCCGGCACAGGATAATCAATGAATGGCTACTCCCAAGTCCTGCGTCCTTGACAGTTCATCACTTAAAAATGTAAAGCTTGCAGATCTTCACTGCTAAGCCTGCCCACCTTCCTGAGTCGTGGCTCAAAAAGCATAACTTTTCTTAGACCCTCTCTTTGGATACCTGCAATAGTCCTAAGTGTGCTTGTCTTGATACTCGGGACATTCTCATTCTCCTTGATAACCCCAGCCCTCTGCTCCCATCCAGCTGGTTGCTGACAACCATAGCTGAACCAGCCTGCTTTCTGGGACCCTGACTCAAATGGCATGGTTCTCTCTTCCTCTTACCCTCTCTTTCCTGCCCATCTCTCTGCTCTCAGCAGCAACCAAGATTTACAACTTTCCTGATTTGTTTTTCCCTCCAGCTCATAAAAGCGGTCCTCAAAGTACAAGGCATTGATCCCAGAGCCTGGTGAATGCTAGGCAAACAGCCTCTCAATAAACTGCATTCCCAGCCATGGCCCCCTTTTAATAGCTTTCCCCATTTATTTATTTACTTGTGTGTGTATATGCGCACACATAACAGAAAAGACACACAGCTTGTGTAGGTCAGAGGACAACTTTGATGAGTTGGTTGTCTCCTTCCAACATGTGGGTTCTAGGGATCAAACTCAGGGCATCACGCTTGATGATGGCTTTACCACTAAGCCATCCTCCTGCTCACCCCATAAGCCCTGTTTTTCTTTTTCTTTTTTTTAAAGATTTATTTATTTATTATGTATACAGAAGAGGGTGTCAGATCTCATTACAGATGGTTGTGAGCCACCATGTGGGTGCTGGGAATTGAACTCAGGACCTCTGGAAGAGCAGTCGGTGCTCTTAACCTCTGAGCCATCTCTCCAGCCCTCTTCTTTTTTTTTTTTTTTCAAGACAAGGTTTCTCCATGTAGCTTTGTGCCTTTCCTGGAACTCACTTTGTAGCCT